CTTAAGTGAAAAGGAAAAGATTTTAAAAATTTGACTTAAGATGTACTTTACATATACATTTATATCAGAAATATTATGCATTTAAATAAGGAGATTCAGCCTAGGTCGTCTACAGGATTTTTCTGACAATGATTCATGATACCTTTAATACCATCAAATCATCAAAACTACAGTCAATGATAAGGCGGAGTGTACTGTGAACAACATGTCTTCGAACACGTTTTCTGTCATTTCCATCTGAGTTTGATTCCAGTTGACACTGTCGCTCTAATTTCTTTCTCTTGCGTTTTTCTTTCCGCTTTTGTCTAAAATTAGTAATTGAAACAACTTTGTTATTTATATATTTAAATATTCACAAGACTGTTCTAAAAGACAAATTTTTTTAAAGTTAAATCATATGAAATTTACCACTTTCACAGGTTAAAAATGGTCAAGTATGAGCAACTTTATGTAGTACATGTAATAGCTTTATATAGGAAGGAAATGATTGCACAATTTAAAGCTTTTAATCTAATCCTAACTATACTTACTTCTCAACAGTTTCATTTATTATTAGCCTCACAATATCCTTAAGCAGATTTTTAAAATAATAAATATGAGTTATGATGGATTTTACTACATGGTTTACAATGTTTTACCTACATGATTTTCAAGTAACAATCAAAAAGTACAGAAAAAAAAAATGATTCCTTTTAAAAAAAACTCAATTTTTCTCCATATCAACTATAGTTTATTTTATCTTACATATGTTGGTATTATGCAATACCTGTAGCCTAAATGCTTACATAAAAACTTATTCTAGCAACATAAATATTGGGACAAAATTTGATCACTTGGAATTGGATTATTTTTATTCCATATCTAGGACACGAATACTAACTATATTCCTTATCTATAATAGTTGTTTCAGAAACTATACTGCTACTCATAAAAGATTCTGGACGAGAAAAGTATAGAGTGCAAGTTCATCAATAGTGCCAAAAAATATAATTTAATTCAGGACACATACAATTTTTAAGTCAATTGACAAGTCTTTAACAAAAAATATGCAGAACCTCAATTTTGATTAACACAATTACTTTTAATATATTAAGGTCTAATATTCCATATTTCTGAATAAGGTAGAGCATACATATTTTGAAACACGTACTTTCTAAGTTCTCGTTGTTCTTCCCATTGTTTCTGTTTTATTAGCTTCTTCATTTGTCGTTTAGATACTGGTTCAATCCCTTCATCTATTCTTGGTTTCTCTTTTTCCTGATCTTCAGTTAAGTCTTGCTTCCTTTCAACATTAGAAGACTCAATAAATGCTGATGATGTTTCAGATGACATTATGTTGGTGTTTCTGAAAAAGCAATTTTTACATGAACAGATAAATTGAAAAGCAATTTTTACATGAACAGATAATTTACAAACACATGAAGTAATGACTAATAGATGTGATTAAAATTAAAACTATTGGTGATAATTGTTAAACTATATCAGTAAAAATACAAATGTAAATTTAGATAATTAAATGTCATTTATTTGCAAAAATCATTTAACTGTCATTTAATACTAATTAAATATCATTCATTGGAAATGAATGATAAAGGTCTAAAGAAATGGGGTATTTTAATATAATATTGGTAGTTATCACACGATTTTTCTAGAAGGTAACACAAGATCTTTAACAAATTGAGACCCTTCAATCAAGTAATTAATTTTCTTTGGATAAGTTCCTGTAAATGAATCAAAAGTGTACATGCAAAGATTCACCAGAGTGTACACAATGCAGTGTTATTTTAATAACGAAAAGTTAGAAAATACTTGAATGCCTGCAAAAGGAGAATAAACAAATTATCACTGTGTTATAGATAACACAAACTAGGATTACTAAGCAGTAATAATCACATTTCCAAAATTACTTATTGATAAGGGAAAATGGTTATAATATTTTAAATAAGAAAACAAAACAAAAACCAATATATCCACCACATCCAGTCATTTTTAAAAGCATGCACATACACGTTTAATTCTTACTCATGGTTCTCTATAATGAAAATACATTTTTATAAAAGAAAAATTATTATTTTTAAAAAGAGATGGAAAAACATCATCCTGTAATCTTCAATGCTGCAGAATGAGGGAAATAGAATGGTATTTCTTTATCTGGTTGTATACTCACACTAAGTTTTAGACAGAAGTTGTTATAAGATTTATAAATTTTGGACAGTACAGACAACATTGCCCCCTTCACTATATTTCATTGTAAATATGTAAATCCTCCACTTTAGTCTTGATGAAAAAACAAAACATGAAAGTTCACTCTGTAATCAGTATGGCTTTGTGGAATGCTTTAGGATGATGCCAAATACATCTTTACCTATTAACTATACCTATTAACTAAAATTGAACTTGCCTTCAGATTAAGGAAAGGCTAGAATACTGATATTTCTTTTCTATTTAATAGATTAGTAACACTGAAGCTTAAAACCGTAATTATTATTTATCCATACCCATGAATGAGCATGATACTACTAAATTTGTATTGGAAATAAGGTAAATGTATCATTAAGGAAATGATTCTTCCTTCTTACAAAGCTTGCTAATAAGTCTATATGGAGAAGCTACCAACTAAAAGAAAAAAAATCCCACAATTTAGATAATTAAAGGATAAAATATTTGCAGAGCATAATTTAGGCAGTAGTTTTATTATGTGGTTCTTGCTTTCTTTAAAAAGTGCAACACTGGATAGGTATGGAGGCATATGCCTATAATCTTAGTAGCTCAGGAGGCTGAGTCAGGAGAAGTTTAAATTCAAAGCCAGCCTCAGAAACTTAGTGAGGCCCTAAACAACTGAGCAAGACCCTGTCTCTAAATGAAATATTAAAAAGCACTGGTGATGTGGCTCAGTGATCAGTGATTGAGCACCCCTGGGTTCAATCCCTGGTACCAAAAAAAAAAAAAATGTGCAACATTGTAATATATCAGTAACATAGTGGCTGGTACTTAGTTGATGCTTATTATATAATGGTGGAGTAAATAAATGAGTGAATACAGTATGATGAAAGATTTTTTAAAAGCAATGAAAATAGTAAGGTATTGTTATCTAATTCATTCCTTAAAACAACTCTATGAGGTTGATTGTATTATTTATCCTTACTTTAGAAAGAATGCACAGTGAGGCTCAATAACTTGCCCAGAATTACGAAGCTACTATAATTCCTAAGAAACAAGGTACTGCAAGCAAATCTAGCACAAAATATATACTCAAAATACTTGATTGAATAATTAGACAAATGAAGGGCTAGAGTTTGGATTCAAACCCAACCTAACTCTACTGTAACCTCCCAGTAATGCAAAACCTTATTTACAAATGAGGGGTTCCAAAGAACATAAAAGAACTGTGCTGTGTCAATTCTGACAATAGAAGACTCTTGAGACCTGTGTCACATATGATGAAAAAAATCTCTAGTTTCATTTCCATGCCACTAATTTTTTTTAATAGTTAAATAATGTTAGTATTCAATTTAAGAAACTGGTGGCAGGAGAAACTCAGTAAACCTAAAAAGATTAGAAAGAAGAAAACTTTAAATATACATAAAGATAGATAGATAGAGGGTGATTTCCCAAGACAACTTTTATTTTACCTTCTTTTCATATGCACTGAATTACATAAAATTCAGCAGTGCATATTACCCAAAGCAAGAGTGGAAAAACATGGTCTGTTAAACTAAACATGCAAACTTAAAAGCACAATTAAAATAACAGGAAATAAATTGCTCTCTTGGTAAAATAATAATATTCCAAAAGAGCACATTTCTATAGTACTTTCCATTTATTGGCTAATTCTCTATTTTGTTCAAAAACTCAAGGGTTGATGAGCTCTATAATATGGGAATGTTAAAAGCAACCTAACGCAGTGTTTTACAACCATGTACACCAGAGGGAGCTTTTGCCTTTCCTATTTAATAAGTCTCGTTAAATTTACCATGACCTATCACAGCATAGTCATGTTTTTAAACAGCCTATCAAAAACAAGAAAAGGTCATGAAGTAGTTAGTCATCATAATCATTCACTTTCTTTAGTTATTCTCCGTTAAGAAAATGCACTATAGTAGGTGAATTTTCTGAACCTCAAACATAGATACACTGAGACATAAGTGGAATGCAAAAAAAAAAAAACTTGGTTTTTAAAAAATTATTGTGTAGACTTTACAAAGATAAACCAACTCTGACCATCACTTCATTACATACTAGCTTGTTCAGATTACCTGTTGTGAAAAAATAGCACAATTACTAGTTTCCTAATTGTTTTAGTTTGGGTCATAATTTGTAAATTTTCTATGGCAGAATTTTGTGTTCCTCTGTGACATGCAGTTATATTCACAGTACATTTTCAGTCATTAAACCAAGTCCAACAAATATTTAAGAACGGTATTTTAATTATAGAAATATTTGTGTGAAATTTGTTTTAGCGTAAAATAATGTGGGTAATTCACAGATCCAGGTTATCGGGTGGGCTTAAAAGAGAAAGAACTAGATAAAAGTGGCTAAGGTACTTGGTGGAATAGGTAAAAAGGCATCTCAATATTTACATTTCCTCACCCCGTTAAAGCAGGGAGAATACACCTCATAAATCAATTAAAGCCAAAAGGAAAATCTTAAAAATTTCCGTGTTATCAAACAACTAAAAAGTCTTCGTAATTTACAATACAGCTCCCTTCAAGACAGATCTAATATTGGAATAATTGCACAACGGAATTAAGGACCTGACCGACCGTGACAGTAAAAGACCTTTCTTTAAACATGTTGATCAAATCGGTGGTAGCAAATGCCTTTTGTTTCTATGTCAAGTCTTTAGGGCCAAAGATCTCCCTCAGAAGAAATGTTTTTAATAGGTGAGAAGGTAACCTGCCGCTATCCTCTCCACATTTCTCTGGAGAAATTCCCAAATTTTAAACTCTTAACGTGCTTCAGTGAAATCAAGCCAACGTAATAGTCCCCAGCTCACCACCATGGGGCTTAGCAGCATCAACAACTTCCCCCTCGAGCTCCCTGCATTTCAGAGGGCTCAGCAACGTCAGGTCCCGAGGGAAGGGACGGGTAAAGAGGTACTAAGCATCTCGCCCCTAGTCTCTAGCCACAGGTGGCACTGCCACAACTCGTTTTTCGGCCCTTTGGAGTCCATATTCCCTCTCCCGTCATCTTTCGTAAGACCACACTCCTTGCATCCTTGGAACCGAGGGCCCACCCTTAAATAACTTGAAAGGAAAGCGCCCCACTGCAGGCCAGCAGAGCCCAGTCCACCCTCCCTATCTACACCGTTCGCCGCGCTAGCAGCAGAGAGGCGGGACTAAAATGCAACTGGCGAATCAGAGAACTGCGGAGGCCGCGGGGGCGCGCCCTAGCCAACGTAATTTCCTTCAGGAACAGGATGGCTATGGCCACTCGCACAGGCCCGTTCCGTCATACCCCGGAAGCCCTTGTTGCCACTCGAGGGTGGCATGGCATGCTTCCCTTTTGTATCCGAACGTTACCTAAGGGGAAGCGAGCGCGAGTCGCAGTGCCAGGAGATTTACCAAACTGAGTTGATGTGGGGAACGTAGTAGTTCGTTCAGAAAGCCTCTCTTGTGTCCTCTCAGTACCGCGGGCGAGTCCTCCTTGGAAACTTCAACTCCCAGAGGCAGAGGCGAGAGTTACCCGGCGGTGGCTACGGCGATTACGTCATACGTCATTGAACTGCGCTAACTTCCGCCTCAGCTGTCCGGGGGGAGGAGGGGTTTATTCGGGCGGGGTTTGGAGTTAGGATTTGGGGAGTGGGAGGTAGTTACGGTGACGTCAATTTTTCCCCTTAAAGAAGTAAAGGTGAACCTACGGGCATTTATTCATTCATATTTTTGTTTGTGTTCGGCGGCGTAGAGAGCTTAAGATAGTCCCATTCTTAAAAATTAAAAATGCGGTACGGATGAAAGATTCTTAGTTTTGTGTTGAAGAGTAGAGGAAAGCATCTCTTGCCTAAGTTATGTCTGTTTTATACAGAAAAAGGTTAACACGGTGGCATGATTTTACATGACTCAAGTGGAAAATTAGAGTTCAAGAAATGAGTCAAATTCATAATAAAAATGCATTTAAATTTGGAATTTCTAAACCTTTTTTTATGGCTTAAGGGGAAAAAAGCCAGACGCTTTACTCTCCATTCATTCTTTGACCTATTTTTCCTGTGCTATTTTGCAAAACATCAGGTGATGTTTCATTGTTTGTACTACTTGACCTTATATAATCTTTTTGCTATATATAGACCAAGTCAACTGAGGGAGAAGCAAAACTCAATCCTGTGGATTGTCGTTTTCTATTTTTTTTTATTTGACCCTACTTCTAATAGGTGATTACTGTAAAATTTGAAGATTAAAAATGAGGTTTGAATCTTGGAATATAAATTGGCCTTCTTAATATAGAAGGAACTCTGAAGTATTTTTCCCTTGATGTTTGAAGACATTTGAACGTGTTTAAGGCTTGAGTGAATAGAAAGTTAAATTCAGAATTTTAGGTTCTCTAAAATAATTTCAGTGTCTCTGAATTTAGTCACAAAACTGAAGTCACTCTTGCTTTAAATTCTCAAATTTATTTGAAAAACTGTGTGAGCTGTAATACAATTGTGAGTCCCTCTCAGTTTCTTCCTCATCTGAAATCTAAAAGATCTCTGTAACTGAACATTGGCAATGAAATCTGGATTCATTTTCTGATCTGTTAGTAGGGCATCTTTTTTCAGCTGCCTCCATATCGGGGCAAAGAGTAGCTGAGGGAGGATTAGTAATTGGATATGTAGCCTTTCACATGTAGGTCATTAAATTCAGGCTGGCACAGTGATGTGCCAGATCTTTCAACAGCTGTTCAGTTGCCTCTCTGGGATCTGTTTTATAAATAATTACACATTTTTTTAAAGGTAATACCTGGCATCCTTAGATAATTAAAACAAAGTTTTGTAAGTCATTAAAAAGTCCTCATGTTTTAATAATGGAGTCAATTAATTTTTACTTGACCATTTAATTTGTAGTCTTATGGTCCAAATTTAAAGGCCCTAGAATAATCCAAAGTAAGTACCAAAAAATTATGAGCAAAAAAGAAAACAAAATTGAATTTAACTAAAGATTGAATCATATAAAAAGTTTAAGGTAGAATCGTTGGACATGAAACAATTCTCATTGATTTGTAAAATTCATGTTTATTTGTTGTATTTGTCTAGTTCCATGCTTTTTTCTTAGTTCTGGTGGTAAATAGCTAAATCGTTATGTCCTTAAGTAATTCCTAGTCTAGTAGAAGAGCCAGAAGTAAATAAACATCGTAAAATATGCAATGTATTAGAGATATCTGTAGAGGGAAAAGAGCAACTAAATGTTTATTGAGACAAAGAACATAGTTTCAAAGATTGAGTGATTTTGCTTCATCTTGTAAAGTAAGTAGGAGTTTTCCAGACATCAGGAAGGGAAAGGAATTTAATATACAGACACCAGTAAAAGAAAGACTTAAGTGGGTCACAGTTTTACACATGACTAAAAGCTGTGCATAGAGGGAAGAAGAAAGAAGAAAAATAACCCTAAGGATTTTTCTAATTTGGACAGCTGTAGAAATGTAATTCCGTTAACTGGGTCATTAAGGGAACACTGGAAGAAAATTAGGTTTTAGAAAAAATAGGCTGGTTTTGAATATGTGAATTCTGGTGAGTCTGTAGGACATCTAAATAGAAACATTTAAAAATCAACAGTGCATGTTTATAGATTAAGCCAATATAAGAAGTTGTCCATGATTTACCAAGTCTATCAGGACTGGAAGGTAACAAATGAAAGGTGTCACAAGACTGAGAGTGCACTGCCTCTTTAATTAGGATACAAGTTCCATTTCGTAATGTGGGCATTATGACACTGGGCTTCAGGTTTTTTAAGATCAGTCAGATATCTGCATTTGTACGTGAAACTTGGTTGTAAGTTTTGGCAACTATTTTGTATGTTTTTAAAATACTGATCAACTATTATAGAAAATGATCAGGAGTTTTCTAAAGAAATTAAAAGTAGAACTTCCACACAATCCAGAAATCCCTTTTCTGTATGGATATCTAGAGGAAATGAAATCACTGCCTCATGTAGGTATCTATACTTCCATGTTTATTGCAGCATTATGCACAATAGCCAAGATATGGAAACAACTTAAGTGTCAATTGATGAATGGATAAAGAAACTGCTAAAGATATACAATGGAGTATTATTCAGCCCTAAAAAATTATGAGATCTTGTCATTTGCAGCAACATGGATGAGCCTGGAGGACATGATCCTAATAAGCCAGCTGCAAAAATATTGTACTATTTCTCTTATAAGTTTTTTTTAAATTCAAATACATGGATTAAAGCAATGGTTAACAGGAGTGATTGGGAGGTTGGGGGAGGAGAAAATGGGAAGACAATAAGTCAGAACACAAAGTAACAGATATAAGGTGAATAGGTCTAGAGAGCTGATTTACAATGAATACTGGGTCATAAAATTATTCTGCATATGGGAATAATACTGAATAAGTGGATTTAGACTGATTTTGTCACAGACACAACAATAAAAATGGGTAACTATGGGAGATGATGGGTATGTTAATTTGCCTAAATGGGAATGTTTTTAACTGTCTATATGTATTCCATAACATCATGTTGTATACTTTAAATATATACAATAAAATTTATGTAAAACTAGAAAAAAAGCATCTGCTGAGTTAATTACAAATCAATAAATAAATACAGAATAGTCTAAAGAAATCATATCTGTGGATCCCATTTAAACAATGGACAGCCAATGTATTAAATCGGACTGCAAATTGTAGAATAAGAAGGAGCTAAAATCAGAATTTTAGCACATGATAATATGGTAGTAAATGCAATTATGAGCTCCTCCATTATGTTTGGCCACATTGAGCAATCATTCCAAATTCTATTATTGTAAACCTACTTCTGATTTTTAAGTCTGAGAGTACTCTTCAGCTGGTTGAGAATGGGGAGGTGGAGGAATAGAATGACACTTGCAAGTACTTAATTCCACATGAAGAAAACCAAAAAGGAACCAATTTTAAACATGACTTAAAAGGCATCTATAAGGAACTATCAGCTTCTTACGTAAACTTCCTTCTATCTTCATTTTGATTGACTTCAAAAATCAAGTTTGAAATGTATTTTAAAGTACCTCATCCTCTCAAGTAGTACATAAATACTGAAGAGTAGGAAGATGACTAGAGAGACAGTGTAATATGAGAACTTCCTGAATATCCTCATAAAAGCAAGTAAAGCATCTAGAATAGCTAAACTTACTTAATTAATTACCGGAACCTTTTTTGGCCATTGTTCTTACTTGGTTTAAAAAAGCATTCTTAATAAATTTCGAAATATCGCTTTCTGTGTAGAAGGAAATAGGGGAACACAACAAAGAACCTGAAAGCTTTGAGAATGGGAAAGCCCCCAAACTGCCAAATATTTGCTAAAAAGCAAAGGAGACCAACATGGCTGCAAAATGGGCAGGGAGTCTGGTCAACAAAAAGTTTAGGTCAATTGTAAAGGAATGAACAGAAAGTTCTAAAGTTACCACAATAATGTGAAGTCTAGAAACTCCAGCAAATAGGAACTACATTCTTGGACAAAGTCCAACATCAAGGAGAAACTGCTAGAAGTAAAATCCTAACTGAATAGGATGAGGACAACAGAGGGCAAAGGAATAATGTGGGCCCACCCAAAAGTTAGACAGGAGAAAGGGTTCAAAAAATTGAGGTAAACATATGTCATAAAATACCAGAAAAAGAATCTGTAGGAGCTGCGGCTGTGGCCCAGTGGTAGAGTGTTTGCCTTGCATTGGTGAGGCACTGGGTTCGATCGTTAGCACCACACAAAAATAAATAAATAAAGATATTGTGTCCATTGACAACTAAAATAATATTTTAAAAGAATCTGTAGAATAATAAAGCTATAAAACTCTTCTATACACCTTTCCTTCTTAAAATTACAAAATAAGATGTAGTTAAAAATAAGTCATAGAAAAGGATTCTGATTGAATTCTATTCAAAGTTGCTATAGTTAAACAAAGGTGGAGGGAACAATGAAGCAGAAAAAAAAGATGAAAACTATAACCCAATATTCCTAGAAAATTTTCAAAAATGTTAAATGATAGAAAATACGAAAGAACAAAAGACAATAACTCAAAATTACTCAAGAAAATATTTTATTAAAGAGGACAATAGAACTCAAAAAGGAATAAGAAATATTAAAAGTACACATATATATTCAACATTGTATTGAAAATCCTACCCAGTGCAATAGGATAAGGCAATAAAAAGAACAAATAAATAAAACTGTTTGCAGATGATAATATTCTCTATGTCAAAAAAATCCTACCAAACCCTTATTAAACAAATAAGCAATTATAGCAAACTCATGGGATACAAAGTTAAGATACAAAAGTCAATTGCTTTCCTATATATCATTAATACACAATTGGAACTTGGAAAATAACTAGATTATCATTATATATATCTATATCTATATATAGATAGATAGATAGATATAAATCTGTTGTGGTTTGGATCTGGAACATCCTTCCGAGACTCGTGTGTTGAAGGCTTGGTCTGCAATGCAGCAATGTTCACAGGTGGGGCTTTGGGAAATAACTGGATTATGAGAGCTTTACCTTCATCAGTGGATTAATCCATT